TGAGGCTCCGTCTCACATACTTTGGGCCAGGAGGGACCAGTCCTTGGAGAGGGACATTGTGCTTGGAAGGGTGGAGGGACTGTGCAGGAAAGGAAGTCCCAGTATGAGATGGACTGACTCAGTGACTGGAGCAATGGGATTAGGTCTACTGGAAACAATGAAATTGGCTCAAGATAGGGCAGGTTTCAGAGCTAATGTACATATATATGATCGCTATGAGTTGCAGGTAATTTGACGGTACATAACAATAACAATACATATTGATCAATTGATTGTGGATTTTTGTAAGAGTAATGAACAATCTTGTCCCGTGTGATTAACTGCCTCTGAAAATCAGCCGGAATGTCAACTGTGGGTTGGTTCTGACTCTATGGTACAGAACTATATATATACACACACACACACACATAGATAGATAGATAGATCTAGATCTATATATCATACATATATATTGGAGAAGGCTGTCTTGCTTGGGAGGGTGGAGAGATGGCACAGGAGAGGAAGACCCTCGATGAGATGGATTGATTCTGTCACTGGGGTAATGAGGGTAGGTGTGTCGGAGACAGTGATATTGGCACAGGACAGAGCAGGGTTTAGGGCTCTTGTACATAGGGTCACTATGAATTGCAAGTGACTCGACAGCACATAACAAGAACAGCAACAACAATACACAAACATAACCACTATATATACACATATCCACTATATATACATACAAGCACATTTTCAATTATTCCCTATGTATCTTAGTGTTGGACAGTGGATGTGGATGACAGAATTAATGCTGAGTTATGGTGCTGGAGAAGAGTACTAAATAGACCAACAACTGCCAAAAGAACAAACAAATATGTCTTGCAGAAATGTAACTAGGATGGAGGCAGGGATGGGGAAACGTCACCTCACATATCTGAACATCTTGTCATGAGGGAACAGTCCTTGGAAAAGGCCATCATGTTAGGAAAGGTGGAGGGTCATGGAAAGACAAGAACATGAATTAACACAGCAACTGTGTCCATGGGATCAATTATATCAGATCTAGCAAGACTAGGGCTGCACGGGGCAAGGCTCAGAGCCGCTGCTGGTTACAGGCTTACTGTGAGCTGCAGTTGACCCAGGGCACCTAACATCAACAATAACAAAATTCAAAAGCCGTTAGCTGATTGCAACACTTATCATTTAAAAACTGTTGCTGGGAGTTTATTTTTAGTCAGTTAAAATACGATTGAGGTTGATCACACTTTGGTTTCTGAACTTAGAATATATTCTATGTCATTCTAATACGCTCTTTTCATTGGATGTATAATAACTTCTATCAAGGGTGCTTAGGTAATTCAGTTGAATCTGGAAAAGACAACTGTCTTGGTTTTTTTAATTCATAGTATGATAAATTGTAAATACAGTTTGCAATATTTAAAATGTTATAACTTAAATTACAAGCTCACAGAATTTGACTGTCCTTAGAAATGAAGAAATACCATACATGGAAAGAATCCAATCCAATCCATACTTCTATTTAACTAAATTAATGTTTTCAGAAAAGTCTGAATTCTCCAAGTGTTTAATAGCATTACTCTTTTCCCATTTGGCTAATTCTTGTTATTTAATGTGGGTGTCTAAATAAGAGACAAAAAGGGGGAAAAGAAGGTGCAAAAAGGCAGAAGAAAATTGAATAAATGTGAATCCATCCATCCATATGATTAATGGAGGCTATATTTACTACTTTCCTCCTAAAAGAAGTAAAAAGGAATTCTTCAGTTGCATTTCTCTCTAACTTGCCTGCATGAAGGAAAATTCCTAACACACAACTGAGGGTGCATTTAGTAATTTTTCATGCAGGGGAAAGGAGTGAATGTTTCTCATAAAAACATGATTTACATCTCAATGGTGTTAACAGACATTTTATGAATAGTGAAGATAATTTGTTCAGGATACCTACGTTCCTGAGGGTCCTAAAGTCACCATTTTAAATTGCAAGGTTAATTTTATTTCCTTGATTTTCCTCCCCTTCTTTTTTTGCATCTCTTGCAATTCCTTTGAAAGCTTTGGTTGTGGAGTCTAGAAAACCGTGGCCAGATTGTTAAAATATTCAGCTACCGTAGCAATGCTGCAGCCATCTGGAAGGATTTCTACCAGTCAGCAACTTGGAGTCAAAGAAGCAAACGATTAAACATGCCTGGACTGTGGGCATGTGTGTGAGTAGGAGCTGGGGGCGGCGCGACAGCAAAGCATCCGTGTTACATGGCTAGTCAAATTACACAGACGCATCAACTGATGGCGGAAAATAAGGAGAAAAGAAATCTTTCAAGCTCCCCCTCTGAATTTCATTGTGAGTAATTTCACGTCAGTGGAATAGATCACTGTTGGCAGAAGCTGAAGCTAAAGCATAAGATCAGACTGCATCCTATAAAATGTTAGTGCAGTTGAATCAGAGAAAACAATCTTTTCATGTTGATTTTCTACTCCTCATACCTTACACGATGGTACCTTTGACGGGGAACTGTCACAAACACAATGCTTCACCAAACAGTGACAGGACTAAGCACTTACCCTAACATTTACTTGTGAGTAGAATTCGTATCTGATTCTGGTTTTGCTTTGTATCCCTTTTCCAATAACTGGAACAAACACCATGACCTAGATTTTCCATGTGAGTATTAAGGTTGTAAGAGGTGAACTTTATCAGGAAGTAATAAATGGGCACCTCAGAAGACTCTTCTACTAAATGATGGCCTTGTTGTTGTTTTTGTTTTTTGGTTTTTTTTTTTTTTCATAAACATTTACAGAGATTTTGGGTTTCCATTCATTCACCGCTGCACCATTCTCTCTACCCTCCTCCCAGTTTGTTCTTGTCCAAATGCCACAGTGCTTGTCAAAGCCAGTTCTGATTAATCTTCTTTGTCAGTGTGTCCTTTGTCATTCCCTATCACTCCTCCCTGAGAGCGACTTCACCCTGAGTCATAAGGAAAAGGGGATGACGTATTCTCTTAGCTACTTCCTGCTGAAAAGGGACGCTGTGGGTTTCAGGGTGAAGATCTTCTCTCACTACTCTAAAGGGACCCTTTGGCAGTAGGAAACACATAGACTATTATGGAGATTGATTTTGGAATTTAGATGCACTCTTATTGATTGTGCTTGGATGGCCTTGTTGTTGTTCTGTGCTGTCGAGTCGCCTGCAACTCATAGCGACCCTATGTACAACAGCCCTAAACTCTGCCCTATCCTGTGCCAATCTCACTGTCTCAGACACACCCACCCCCATCACCCCAATCACTGAATCAATCCATCTCATTGAGGGTCTTCCTATCCTGTGTTGTCCCTCCACTCTCCCAAGCAGGACGTCCATCTCCAAGGATAGGTCCCTCCGTGCAACATGTCCAAAGTATGTCAGATGAAGCTTGAGAATCCTTGCCTCCAAGAAGCAGTCCAGCTTCACCCTCTCCAGGATGAACCTGTTCATTTGCTTAGAAGGCCACGGTATATTCAATACTCTTCTCTAACATCACAGCTCAAAGGCATCAATTCTCCTTCTATCCTCCCTAGTCATTGTCCACCTCTCTGATGCATAACAAATGACTGAAAAAACCATGGCATGTATCAGGTGCACCTTAGTCTCCAGATTGACATCGTTGCACTTCAGCACTTTAGAGAGGTCTCTAACCGCAGACTTTCCCATGGCAATACATCTTTTAATTGCCTGGCTGCTGGCCTAGAAGGGACAATTCCTTTCCACAGCCAAGCTTGCACAGCGTTCAAGCAAAACTGCAGTAATCATTTTCTTAATTTGATCAATACAGCAAACCACACCATATGATTAGCCACAGAAAATATGATTAGACTTCTACAAGATAGTTTTCATCAATCAAATTCCCAGGATAACGAGATAACCTGACTTCTATCCAGGAAACACAAGCTCAACTGTCTACGTGTCATGGCTCTCCCCTTCTTTACTTTCTCTAAAAAGCAATGTCATCTTCAAGTCTTAATTTTTAATAGTAATACAACATATGATAGCAAAATCTCTCGTGATCAAAAACTTAGATTTATGGAGAGAAAGCAACTTAAACACAATGTTTCTTTGACCTCTTGATAGAAAATCAATATTTACAGCATATAATCTGTTCTTCTTTCCCCACAAATAAAAATGAGTTCCATCTGAATCCAAAGTATGGATGTAAAAATAATTGTGTCTGAGAAAGAACTTCAACCATCATCTGACAGACTCCTTCCTTCATAGTATTCGTCAAGAAAAGCAATAAAGAAGAGTGAAGCGTGAGAACTTGATCCAAAGTAAAAGTGTGGGGGGAAAAAATCTCAGAATTTTCCGGACCCTTCACAAGAACATGCCTTTCATGGTAACACTCATTTGTTTTTTTATGATTTGATTTAATGCAGCATATGCCTAATGATAAAATCAGTCCTGACATGATGAAGACACAAGAGAGATTGGGTTTAATGACTAGCAAGCGATCTGTCCTTGGCATTTATTTGTCCCTTATATATGACTTTATAAGGTGAAGCATATCCTGAGTTCACTGAAGATTTACTCACTATATATGCAATTTAAAGTTGAAGCCACCCCCCCCCCTCCAGTGGCTGTTGTTAGGTGCTGTCGAGTATGACTCATGGTGACCCTCTGACCAGCAGATCTGAACTATCCTGTGCTGTCCTCATTATTTCTCACACACTTGAGCCCATTGCCGCAATCATGGTGTTAATCCGCCTGTTTGAGAGTCTTCCTCTCTTTTGTCTACCTCCAACATTTCCATGCATGATGTCCCTTTCCGAAGAATACCTTCTCCTAACAGTATGCCCCAAATATATGAGCCAAAGCTTTGTCATCTTTGCCTACAAGGAGCATGCTGGCTGCACTTCTCCAAGACAACATATATGTCTGTTCTTTTGTCAGTCCATGTCCCATCTGTATTAACATATATACATTAGAAGTAAGACCCACTTCATATAGAAATTATTTTCCAAAGAAATCACCATGGAGAACGTACCTTCCACTTTAACATGAAAATCGTGACTAGCTGTTCCCAGAAAATTACTGGCTGTGCAGCGGTATGTTCCTTTGTCATGGTAGGAGACGTTTTCTATCTTCAGTATTTTGACAGTATCATCTTTAGTTTCATCTCCTTTTGGTAAATCACCACCCACTTTGCTCCATTCAATCTCTGGAGTTGGCCTGAAGATAAACAAACGAAATTACTTTTAAAAAAAACAAAAAGAAAAAAGTGTAAAAAGTCATCAGGACTCATTCACTACTAAGCTGTTTTAATGGATATATTTGGGGTTCAACTAGTTAATAAGAGGCATGACAGAGCATACCACCAGCCATAGTGATCTTTAGAACTCCACTGAGTCTCTTTCATTACAAGTTCCTTGGGGGTCGGTTCCCTCTGTGGTCTTCTGTGTGCCCTTTGTGAGAGGACAATCAACGTACAAGTGGTGAACAGTTATGGCTGCATGAAAGAAGGGTAACTTGGAGCTTGTCATGCATTCAGTTGTCCCCATGCCTACCCTGATGTGCTGAAACTAATCTGTGTACCTATAAATATGGCCATGCTGGGAAATGAGGGTTTTATTTTGCTACATTTATGAAGTCATATCAGAGTATGGTGGATCCTAATTCTAACTTTTTTTTTAATATATACACACAGAGAGAGACAGGGAAAGAGAGAAGGGGGGAGAGAGGAGATGGGGGGGAGAGAGAAAGTGGGAGAGAAAAAGGAGAGAGTAGAGAGGGAGAGAGAGAGTGGGAGAGAGGGAGAGAAAAAGGAGAGAGCAGAGAAGGAGAGAGGGAGAGAGAGAGAGTGGGAGAGTGGGAGAGAAAAACGAGAGAGCAGAGCGGGACAGAGGGAGACACTAGTACCAAGGAATGCCACGAACCATCGGAACATGAGGAGACACCAAAGCTGAGAAGACAGGATCACAGAGGCCCTGATGCAGTCAAGATTCTGACTGGGGATTTCAGTCTCCAGAGCTGTGTGAAAATGAACTTTCACTCTCTAAAACCACCTACTAGTGATATTTCTGTTACAGCACCATGAGGAAAGAAATCCAGTGCCCTAAGAAATCGCATTGCAAGGTATTTTTAAAGAGTGAACATCTCCGTGTGGGTGGCTTTGGAGAGCCATAAGTAGCAGCCACGTGTCGTATATGAGGGGGGATATTATGGTAAAGTAGATGGAGCAGTCAGTGAAGGAGACTGTGTTAGCCCTTTCATCCTAATAAAGCTGAGGAGGGAGGGAGTCACACGCTGGCTGGACCTCAGGGGAACCCACTGGGGGACACACTGGGGTCCAGTGCTGCTACCCAGGATGCATCCCGTGGATCAAATCTCCCTTGCTGAGATCCTTGCGAGAACAGATTACCCAAATCAGGACAGACAAGAGCAGAAACAACCTTGTCATTTACAAACACGCAGATCCCTGTTTATTCTTAGCGAGATAGAATGGATTCAAGCCAGCTCAATTTTAATCTGGAATTTGGACAAGAGAAGAATTGGCAACCTTTAAGACTCTTGAGAGTTTAAAATTATGTAGAAAGCATTGATGGTTGATTTTTAACTAATGGATGAATTTTCTCTCTTACAAATCAGGCTTAATGAGCAGATGAAGACTTAACTTTGCTCTCTTTATTGCTGGTGCTTGTTCTTTCTAATCATATTCTGCTAATTCTTTTCCTTTTCACCATTATTGAATGGTATTGAATATATGCTAAAGGTGGACATTATTACCATTAGATAAAGCTTCAAAAAGTTAATTTTGTAAAGCCACTGTTGTAATACTTGACTATTAGAAGTTAAATTTGTCATACAATTTAATCATGTGTGTGTGTGTGTGTGAGAGAGAGAGAGAGAGAGAGAGAGAGAGAGAGAGAGAATTTACATAGTGAAATATTTGCCATTTCTGTTATCTTCACACTTAGGAGTTTAACCACATTATGTTCATCATGTTATCCAAACATTAATATTAATCTCTCTCAAAATTTTCCATTCTATTTTACAGAAAGCTGAGTAACTCATATGTATTTAGTTTTTCTTACTCTTTCCCATATGTCCCTCATATCCTTAATACACATTCCTCTCTATATAGTTATCTAAGTTCAGTATGTCATATAATTTAGATCACTTGTGTTTTTCAAGCACTGTCTTTTTTGACCATTATTCTTGGAAATGTACTTTCATGTTCTCAAAATCAAACAATCAGTTAATTATTTACCAGTAGAATCGTCAGCTCAAACTATTTGTGTCTACTATTATCTCAAACCATGTTTATTAGTAAGCAATGGATGACATAATTGCTAATTATGAAAAGGATATATAAGAGGTCAAGATGAAGGCCCTTTAATTTATATTTATCTGCCATCTGAGAAGTAACATTTTTCTCACTTCCTCTCTCCGCTTAGACTCATATCTATTTTTTAATCCAGAGAAACTACTGTATATTTCACTAGGCTACCAGTAGAAACCAAACTTCAATTGTTCATTTATGTCAAGAAAACTCCAGCTAACAGAGATCACGCGTTAGATCAGAACTGCTCCACTGAGGAGCCTTCTTTGTTGCCATTTTAAAGGAAGCAGTTCACTTGAGCAACCGTCTGAGGAGCTCCTGTGTGGATTCAAACCATCTCCTAAGTTTGGTTAAGCGCACACTGTTTGCACCACCCAGAGCCTATGGCCCATCCATCGCCTCAGGAGATGACAACAACGTCCAGAGATGCAGTTGTCAGTGTGCCTTAGCCGCTGGCTTAACGAGCACACCGCGTAACAGGATGCAGAACCAGCTCTCTCAACTGCTTACTTTCCCCTCCATCTGTCAAGATGGCAATCTGCCAAGTTACAAGCTGCTCTGGACCTTGCAAAAAAATTCCTCCATTGACACGGCGCTGAATCTGATGATGGTGACCTTGGAGGCCGAGAAGATGTTCCAGGTAGGTAGTATGGGATTACCCAGTAAACAACGTAGGCACGAACTTACTCATGTTTACTTAATAAACAATTCCACATTGCTTCACTCCTTCAAAGCTCCTGCTTACAGGTTAGAGCTGGTGGAAGGCTCTACACCTATCACACATCTTCCTACAGAATTAAAAAAAAAACTCTTTTCCAATTTCCAGCCCTGTGACAGAGATGAAATGCCTCATAAGCAAGATAAGCATGCCTTAACTGTGCTTACAAAATGCATCTGAAAAACTGTTCTCTACAGATGCATTTCCAACTACAACAATCAAGCTTTCTACTTGGATTTCAACTTGCATTTCAGTCACCTGTTAATATGAATGCTTCTTAACTACGTGTTTGGTCAATTTCAGACTGTCAAAGTTGGTTTGTATATTTGAAAGTGTTGGTAGTTGGAAATGATGAAGTTGGGATGAGAAATGAGGCTGGAGTTTGAATGATTGAGTTTTGTACAATCAATGACGTATTCAGAGCAAATATTCTTTTTAAAAACACCGACAGTAGCTCTACACATAGGCCTCACCCAAAGGACTGTGAAGGAATCAGAATGACTATATCAGCAGTCAAAACGAGGCCGGGTGCAGACTGTGGAAGAGAACACGAGTCACTCATATACTCATGTGCAAGCTCAAATCGATGACAAAGAAAATTCAACAAGTTCACAAGATCCAAAATATGACCATGAGCCCATCTCGACTAAAAGTAAAATTTTTAAAAAGGAAAGTAAAAATGACCCCAACAAAAGGTTTGAGGCACTAAAGATTTAAGACCAGATGAATTGTGGGATGCCACAAAGGAAAAGATCGTCACAAAGATAGGAGACTAAAAAGACCAAAATATATACCAGAGGGGACTCTGAAAATTTCATTAGAGTGTTGAGAAGTCAAAACAAAGGGAATAAATGCTGAAGTAAAAAAGATGAACAGAATATTTCAAAGGGCAACTCAAGAAGACAAAGCAAAGTATTATAATGGAATGTGCAAAGAGCTGGTGTCAGAATAAAAGTAATTCATTCAGTATTTCTCAAACCAAACTGAAAAACAAATAATTGAAGTGTTGCGTTGCACTACTGAGAGATGCAATGGGCAAAATCTTGAATGATCCAAGAAGCATTAAAAGAAGATGGAGGGAATACATAGCAGAATGAATTGATCAACACTGAAAAATGCCAGGAAGTAGCATATGACAAGTAAGCAATAGTGATAAAGGAAGAAGTTCAAGTTCTTGAAGAGATTGGAAAAAAAAATAAGGCCCCATGAATCCATGGGATAGCAGTTAATAGATGCGACTCTGGATGTTCTCACCAGTCAGGGACAGGAAATTTGGAAGACATCTACCTGGCAAGCAGACTGGATCACCTGTCTTTAGGTTAACAGCACAACTCCTTGCCATTAGGCCACCGTACACATAACTTACATTGATTTATGTTATTGCATAGTGGGAATGTAAGACAGACAAGCAGCCACATAGTTTTGCTAGATGAAAAGAGAAATTCACAAAGTTTACTGGTTGTAAAATGATTTTTCCCCCTTCATGATCCAATTTAGGATCAGCTCTGCAGAATATATTAAGAATAAAAAGTATCGTCAAGTTCTAGTCCTGTCTCTACCAGAGCTCTGGTGGCTTAGGTGTAAAGAGCTGTGCTGCCAACCCAAAGGAATGCTGTTCAAATCCACCAACTGCTCCAAAGAAGAAAGACAGGCAAGCTCCATGCATGTGATCAACTGCCTCTGAAAACCTGCTGGAGGGTCAGCTACGAGTTGGTTCCAACTGGACAGTCCATAACACCACCAATTCTGTGTCTAGACGCCTGGATAGAATAAATCTTCCCCTATCCCTCTGCATTAGAAGAAGCTGGTGGTTGCTTCTTCCCTGTGCTCTGGCATCACCCTTCATGAATAAGAAATCTTTATCTAACACTGACTACCAGGTAGAAGACATTAAGCCAAGAATTCCTAATGTGCAGATAACATCGGGGTAGAAAGAGATGTCCCAGTGAGACCAAATGCTGTATAAGAGGGTCGAGTCCTTGCTTACTGGCCTTACGGTACCAATATCAAGAGGTGAATAAGTAGAGGTCCTTTGGGCTTTTATTGAGACCTTTGCCAAAGTAGCTTATAGGTGTGAAGAAAGAGGTGATAATGCACACATTGGTAACGAACGAACTCTAGAACGTTGGTTGGACCTCCTTTAAGGCACAGAGCAGGAGGGTAAGATATATTATGAGCTGAGCTCTCACAACTTGATTAAACATAGCTGGCTGCACGGCAAGGGGAAGTGGGAAAAACAATAGAGCTCAGATTTTAGAAAATATTCTGGGCTGGCGGCTGACCACTTTCTGTTCTCAGGGTGGCATCCCTCTGTCGGAGCCTGGGCGAATGCTGTCATTATCTCCTCCGCCAGCATCACCACAGATCGGCAGAGGAACCTGAATGCAAATCAGCCTAAATTCCAGCCTAAAGTTGACAGAAGGAAGTAGCAATTTTTTCCTTCCGGAATATAGTAACAGGACTTTTTTCCTCATGGAATAATATTTTGAATGTGTTCACAGTCACACTGTGAACCAGTGTCTCGCCCTCTGCAGAACCAGCAGAGCAAAGTCACGAGCAGGGGAGCCACGTTACTCACAGGCCTTCAGCAAAACACTCGAGCAGCAGGGTGTCCCCTCTGAGGATGATGACAGCGGAGCTGGAAGTCTCCACAGGAGGCAACAGCAGTCTGGGTTTTCTTTGCTTGATCAAATTTGCTACAAAACATAAAAGGACAATCTCAGGTATCATCAAGCTAACAGAATTAAAGTCGCCTGACACTAAATCTTCCTTGAAGTATACTCAAACCATCTGTATGTGTGCATTATGGGAGTGTGTGTACATGTGAGTGTATGTACATGTGAGTGTGTGTACATAAATATTTCTTCCACGTAAATAGTTCCCTTCTCTTTCTTAATATGAAGCTTGGGTCTGGCACAAAGATGCTGTAGCCAAGTGTAGCACCAAGCTTTATGAAGGTAATGACTATCCCACATCTTCTAATTCTGAAGTTCAAATATTGTTCTAGACAATTAATTTCCTGATGTACCCCTTAAATTAATTGAGAGCTTATGATTTTAGATTCTGCACTTTAATCATTCCTGGTCCTGTTTTATGGCTCTCAGTGTGTGTGCTCCTGTAATCGCATATGCTTAGGTTTATTATACATTGAGTCCTCGTGGAGCAATGATTAATCACCCAGCTGAGACCCAAAAGGTCTATAGTCCAAACTCACCAAGCACTTGGAGAAAGATGGGGCGGTCTGCTTTTGTGAATCGTGGCCTTAAACACGAAGCACTATGTTAATTACCAAAAGCTACCAGTTGAAAAATACCATCTTAAAAAAAATATACCAATTGGTTATAGGGTTATGTACATATGTGAAAATCAAGCTACAGAGGGATTGACCAAGACCTTGCAGTTAATTAATTACTTAGATCAATGGGAATTAACATTCTAGAACAAAATGTCTATGATGTCTATGAATGATTGTATGAGAAACCAGTAGGATTTGTAAACTCATTGATATTTGAAGTAATAAAAAAAATGGAAATAACAAAATTTTTCATTTAAATAACACCCAAAAACCCCTGCAGGTAGTTCTTCTCTGTTCTGCAGGGGCCACTGTGAGTTGGCATCAGCTCAGTAACAGGTGGTTTTGTTTCTGTGACTATTAGGTAGAGCTGCTGCTAAAATGAAGTTTGCTAGACTCTTCATGCAGAAATGCTATCACGAGGAAGTCTATAGTGGACATCTAGAACCTGCAGCTCGTCAGGAACCTCAACTTACAATCTCAGACCTTCACAAAGAAGCGCTGAGGTAGAGAATGATTATCAAGAATTCTTAGCAACTGCCTATAAACATGTTCCATTTCTTAAGCTCTAAAGACGGTTCCAAAACAATGGCAAAGTAGATTTCAATTTTCACTCTAAATTTTTATTTCCTTTTACAAATGTCCACCCAGATTGTATTTCCCAGTCAATGTGACTTGACACAAATATGAAAAGACAACAAAATAGGTGGCCTTCTATCCTCCTACAGGAGAGAGAGGCAAGACCCCGGAAAGGAGGTGCACCTCACTGCGGCTCGTGTAGGAGGGTGCATTTATCTAAAGGTCGTGTTCAGCAGTACTCTGTGCATGAGTTTCATTCACTGCTGTGGAATTTTATATATATTTATATTACATATTATATTTATATATAACATAGTATTAAAAATATTTCTATATATAACTAAAAAAGTTTCATATTTATATATCTAAATATATCTCTATCTCTGTATCATCTATTATCTATATCGATCAATATCTCTATCTATAACTCTATTGTTTGTGTGCATGTCTGTAGAGTGGGGGTGTTGTAGTTATAGTGGGGGTGCTCTGGAGTTAACTATTACCCTTAGGGCAGCCCTGAGAGCAACAGATCTGAACCTGTCCTGTCCTGTACCAGCCACATAATCTCCACCACACTCAAGCAAATTGTCACAGTCTCTCTGTCATTCTATTTCATTTGAGGGCCTTTGTTCCTTTCATTAACTCTTTACTGTTCCTAGCACGGTGTCTTTTCCCAAGGTCTGGCCTCTTCTGACAACATGTCCTAAGTACGTGAGATGGAATTTCACCAGCCTTGCCTAGAAGGAGCACCTAAGCTGCATGTCTTCCCAATACATATCCATAAACATTAACGTATCCACAGACACAGACATTTTACCCACTGCCGTCAAGTTATTCTGACTCACAGCCACCACCCAGGGTTGTGACGTTCTAAATCTTTAAGAGACTGTTTATCTTTCTCCTGGAGAAACCGGTGGATTGAAATTGCTGATAATTTAATCCAACATGTATGAACTATTACACTTGAGTTTCTTGTTCATGTGTGTGTGTATGTGTACAACTGAGTTCTGGATCTCAAGGAAAACTGTCTTGGGAATATATATTGAAGCAATTCATCTTCAAATTGAGGGTCACCAGAGGAACAGTCACCCAACCCTGCTGATTTGCTAGATTATTAGCCACCTAATCTAAATGATATAAAGAGCATTTTTTGGCAGTCATGTTAATGTTTCCTCTCACTGATGAAAGCTAGCCTACTGTATGATTGAGGTTTACTTGGGTAAATATTTACTTTTGGTAAATGTCAGGTAGATACTCCAAGCCAAAGAGTTGAGCATTTTCATGGACAAATGAGCTTGGAGAATGTTGCATTACTGGTTTCTTTCTCAGAGAGTCACAATGCACAGTCAAATATCAAATATCTCAGAAAAGCCTTGCATGGGGTATCTATTAAACTCCCCTAATCCTACTCGCATGACTAGGGATGATAGTAGAGTTGATGCCTTTGAGCTTTGATGCTGGAGAGGAGTACTGAATATACCATGGACTGCTAGGAGAACAAACAAGTTTGTCCTGGAAAGGGTGAAGCCAGGCTGCTCCTCGGAGGCAAGGATTTGAAAGCTTCGTCTGACATATTTTGGAAATGTTGCAAGGAGGTACCAGTTGTTGGAGAGGGACGTCATGCTTGGGAGGGTGGAGGGACAGCGCATGAGAGGAAGACCCTCGATGAGATGGATTGATTCCTTCACTGGGATAATGGGGGTAGGTGTGTCAGAGACAATAAGATTGGTACAGGATAGAGCAGGGTTTAGGGCTGTTGTACATAGGGTCACTATGAGTCACAGGCCATTACACAACACATAACAACAACTCATATTACATATCTCTTTTATAAGTATTATATATGCTATATAAAAACAGAGTTTATTTAAGAGGGGGTGAACAAGAGAATTATTTATGATAAGGTCCTTCCTTTTTTTGAAATTTCTTGAATTTTATTTTATTATTTTGTGTGTGTGTACAGTCAAATCGGATCTGACTGGTACAGGAAGAGATTGTCACTCCTTCTCCAGCAAAGCATCTGGTGGACTCAAACTGCATGCCTCTGGGATTGCAGTGCAGCTTCTTGCCACTAGGCCACCAGAGCTCCCCGATAAGGTCCTTTCTGTAATAGGAACTCTTAGTATCTCAATAACCTCACACAAGCATTAAAGGAAGAAGTCCAAATTCTGGGATGACAACGAGGTACTAAAGGTGAGAAGAAGAGTTAACACTTTTGCATGTGTTCCACTTACCCTTGGAACCAATTTCTGTGGGTGAACTCGAGTCATTAGCATGCTTTACTGAAATGAGAAAAGATGGAGGGAAGCAAAATGCAAACATAATGGTAGATGTTGACATCAATACAGAATGAGAAGCCTTCTTTTTCTCTTAGAAAACTTATACAATGAGATCAAAGAGTGCTTTACTAGAGCATTGTCTTGTGGGTGTAACTGGAAAACATCTCTTAGGAACTTAATTTGGATTACGCAGGAAGGAATCCAGAAATGAACGTCCAAATGAGAATGTTACCACAACAAAAGGCTCTAGTCAAGCCCTGGCGTTATGGATCTACACGTAACAATGAACAACTACAGATCAAATCAGACAATGAGATGGGAATGCCAACTCTGCACTATTCTTGTTGGTGTATGCTGTCGATCGGAACCGACCCACAGCTGACTCTCTAGCAGGTTTTCAGAGGCAGCATTCAACTATACCCAAGCCAAGGATTTAGTTGATGAGCTATAGGGCTTATCTTCGCCCTCTGACTCTTGGGCTTCTTCCTCTAACTAATTACTTTTCCCCATTTGGGCACGCAGACAGACATCTGCATTACCAAGAAGAGAAGAGCAGTAATTCAGAGAACTCTGCCAATTTGAGTTGCAAAGGAAGCTGGTCAAATGGGCTTGCTATGATAAAAATGGTAATGCTCCATCTTTTGAACTCTTTTCTGTTATACCCTCCTCCCAGCCATCCCCAGCTTGCTAGGTTATCCAAGATCAACGGTTAATCGATGCTGACACTCCTTACCAAACTTGGCAATTTCATTGTATATTTTGTCCGCTCAAAGCGGCTGAGCAGACGTCAAACGAAATGCGTTTGCACTGTGAACTGAGATTTGATTTTCTGGCTGCCTGAGACAGAGCTACTGCAAATCTGCAGCTGCAGATGTCTCTTTCATCTGGATGAAGTCTCTAGAGTTGAACTACACAATGGCAGAAAAATAGGAAGCCAGCTCCAAGTGGCTCTAGCCAAAACGAAATTACAGACACATTTGCATTCTGCGTCCATGATGGAATGATAAATAATTTGGACTTACAACTGTTAACGGTTAGTTTCATTGGCATTTTCTGCACAATGGTCCTTAATCTTGGAAAGGCAGCAAAGCAGCAGTAATCATTGCGGCTGTCTTTCTCCTCCACGTTCGCAAAGTACAGATCCCCCTTCTGGCTCATGTACACTCTTTTGTCTTGGGTGATGTGTTCTAACTCTGGAAAAGAAACATCGCATCGTCAAAGGCAGATATTGTCCCCATATCGTGCTTGGTCTCCTGTTAATTTTCCTGCCTTTAATTTCATTTTTTCATTTCTAATCTGCTCTTAATTTCCCTCCAAATCTGAACTTATTATAAAAACAGAAGATAAGCAAGAAGAGGGGAAGATAAACTAACGCTGGAATCATGTCTGTAAACATTCACTAAGGATGTTCATAGAGGTTGCCCACTGGGAAAGGGCACCTCTCCTCACTGTCTGGATATCTAGGGTAGGTCCTCCTGTCAGCATGCGCATATCTGAAAGCTGGTCAATTCAATTAACAGTTGAACGATAATTATTCATTTCTGAGGATCTTACTGCTTTAAAGCAGAGTTTCCTCAAAAACTGAATCTAAGGTGTTAATCTCTCTGCTCTGGGTGCAGCCATGGAATTTTTGGGGTGACTAGATCCTGTGACTTTCTGGCTTCCACTAGGAGCAGCTTCATTTCTTTCTTTTGAAAACTGTGGAAATACTATAATTTTTCTCATGAATCAAAATGAGAAAATATTTACAAAGTACTGCTAAGACATAAGCCAGGGATGGGATTTGAAAATAAGCTGGGATTTCAAGTCAGTAGTGTGATTAAAATTTTTCTACAAATTAAACAAAACAGTAAAATTCTCTTCTCTGTATTTAAGCAGATTTATTTACAATAAATGTGTGAAGGGGGGAGGCGTTTGGGGGGATTGCAGCAGAGAACAAGTGGGTCTCCCTCCTCCACATCCAGAGGGCCCATTATTTTCTTTTGGGAATTCTGGAACACCTGGTATAACTAAAGCATTCAATGGCATCATTAACATAAAAAATACTGTTAACATAATTAACATAAAATATAAAACCAGCATCATAGTCACCAGCTATTTTCTCCTTTAATGTGCCTTCCATGCCAAAGCTAAGATACATTTGTAATACAGAATGTTTTTCATCAAAGATAAGACTCCTCTGGGGGGGGCAGCCTCCGCTCTCTATAGTGCAGTGGAATCAAGGCTTATATTTAGTGATATTTTAGTGTTTTCATGTATGTTCATCAGTGTCGATGTAGGACTACACGCAGATCTAATTTTTCTTAAAAACATTCATTTGGTCTCACAGTAAAAATACATATCAGTTTTTTTCGCTGTGCCATCTGCTGTGCTGCATGAAATGAAAATGCCCTCCTGTTGCTGGAACAGACCACCACTTACCAATATTCATCCAATAAATGTGTAAAGGGGGCAGGCCTTTTGGGGGGTTGCACTGGAGAACAATCGGGTCTCCCTCCTCCACATCCAGAGGGTCTATTTTTTCTTTTGGGAATTTTGGAACACCTGGTATAAATAAAACATGCAAAGACATCATTTTAAAAATGAACTTTAAAAATTTCATATGCACTAACTTAATGATTCCTTTTTAAAATTAGCCCGCTTAACTAAGTCGACACTCCAAATCCTGGTTCTCACGTCTCCCCTACAGAGACAAATGCATTTAAGAATATGGTTTACATGATCCCAGAATTTGTAAGACATCTCTGCCCTTTATGTTACCAACAACATACGCTTGGTAAGTGATGTCAACAAGGTACCGACATGCTTGTGCATGTCTCTCAAGGCAAATATGCACACGGTGGACCACCTGGTTGTCTTTTTTAAAATATCTTGATTGATTCGACTTCTTCTTTATTACCTCGCACTGTGATTTCATCCTTAGGCAGCTATATGTGCTCTATCTCTTGCTTTATTGCGAAGCCTTTGAATGTAATTGTCAAATATTCCGCTCAGAACATTTACCAAGCTAAATATCCAAATGCCACATGAGGATAGAAGGAAGAAGACAATGAAAAGCCAATAGGACCATTTTAAGTTCCAAAGAAGCCATTCACACTGGAATGATTTCCAGTAAATGGCATTTTAAATGAAATGATATTGATGTAGGAAATGAGACTTTCCAATACGGGACACTATTGTTTCCTTCCCACGCTGCAGCCAATCTTTAACAAGAGCACTGCAGTTACGATGGGAATACAAGCCAGAATCCAGGAAAATATGAACTCTAACATCAGTGTTCAAGATTTACAGAAAAGTGTTTCTGAGGACATTAAAGAGCTATCCTATCCGAATATGATGAGCCTTTTAGCTTTGTTGCTGGGTTTTCTGGTGGGACAGTGGTTAGCAGTGGTTTCTCAGCTTTTTCCCCAAAGGTGAGAATATTTGAACTCACCAGTCACTACTACTGCGGAGAGCTGTGACAGTCTGTCAATGTAAAGACTTGTTCAGGAATTTGCATTACAGAATTATACAGGGTCTTAAAGCAAAATCTACAGCCATCAAAGTCACTTCTACCTCAAAGTGACCCAGCAGCACACACACAACTGCCTCCCAGACTTCTGGGCTGTTATCTTTATGAAAGCAGACTGCCCTGTCTTTCCCCTGGACAGCTAATTATTCACTGCTATTGAGAGGGACCGACTCATAGCTGATCGACCCTCCAGTGGGATTTCAGAGGCTGCAAATCACTCAGGAGATGACTGTCCATCTTACTCCAACCAAGCGGCTAGCTGGTGGACTGAATCCGTTTTGTCCTTAGATTGGCAATGCAACTCCTTACCACAAGGCCTCCAGAGCTCACAGAACTGGTAGTAGTCTGTGCCTCCCAACAGCAGCAAAAAGCCAAATGCTTAACTAATGCACCACCAGAGATCTTTGCTTAGGGAAGGGAAGGATTTAAAATGCTATTTATAATACTTATTTTTTAAAATATGCTTTCACACATTTTAAAAATCATTATTTAAAGTTTATAGAGCAGAACCGGAGTCAAGTCAACCATTCATAGGTATTATATTGCTTTCAGTTCTACATTTTACCGTCACTCTTTCCTCTGCCCCGCTGTGGCTCCTGCTTTCATTCGTCCTTCCACCATTCCTCTTACCACCCTCCAGGTTTTAGCCTTGGGAAGCGGCTGAGATTGTGGTCCTGTGTGGCCGAGTGCTCCAAGGGCTGAGTACCTCAGTGGTGTTAGTACCCACCTCAGTGATCCAGCTCTTGTGTGCTCAAAGCTGTGCCATAGGGGTGATTTCAATTCCAGGCACAAAGGGTGGCTGAGTCCCATAGTCTCGGGAGTTCTACCAGCTTCTGCCAGGCCAATAAGCCCAGTCATTATGGTGTCTTTGAGTTTGGCTCTACATTCATCTCTAAGTCTATTCAAGTTGTTCTACTGTGATCCTTATCCGAATGGATAGCTTTGGTACCTGGGCACCAGCTAGTTCTTCTGGTCTCAAGGTTGTAGAGGTTGGGGATCATGAGGTCCACGAATGTTAGGGACTTACTCGTTTCCTGCAAATTTGATTTTCTCCACTCTTTGCTCCAGACAGGAAGACCAATGATTTCACCATCACTGGGCCACTATTAGGCTTTACGTCCCCAGTCTCTACTCCCCAGTGGAGAGTGTAGAACTTCTTTCATTTGGAAAATATTATGCCAAGCTGAAGTTGATGTCTCCTGAAACTGTTGTCCTAATGGCCTATCCCCTCAGAACATTTGGTTGTGGTTAGTGGATGTACAGGGGAACGAGGGGATTAATCATTGGATTATACAATCTGATGGGGGGAGAGGGAAATTGAAAGAATTTGTTCAAATCTGTATTAGAATTTTGTAAATAAAATAGTGGGAAAAAAGTCAGTTTGGGGAGGGGGAAGGCAGGGAGGGGGTAAAATATGCAACAATGAATGAATTAAAATCTAACTTTTCTGTAAACTTTTGTTAAAATGACAATTAAAATAAAAATTTTTCTTTTAAAAAAAGAGGTTTAAGTAATACTGATTGTAGTTGGCTGTACTGTCTCTATGTATCTATTTATAGCACACTGATAAATACACCTATTGAACTCTCATCTACCCATGCTACCGGTGATCATGGGTCCCTTTCACTTACCCATAGCTGTTTGTCTTTGCTGTATGCCTGCATATCCATTTCAATTTGTGTTTGTTGTTAAAGGTAACCCGGGTTGCATACATAGTGTACTGTGGTCTATACCTCTTGAGCATATTTGTGTGCCTTCCTTTCCTTTAGTTAACATTTTGCTAATTACCTTTTCTTTTTATACAGCCTTTCCCTTCACCCAGCTTACTATGTATCTACTATCTAACTCCCAGCTTACTTTCTCTTCTCTCACCATCTCCCGTCTCTGGTGAAGGTCAAAGAATATTTTTTTTTTGTAGTTCATTTCTGTATTTCTTTCTTAAGTCATGGCAGTCTTAAGATAAAGTCATCTACCATCAAATGTCTTCGTAAGAAGTTCTGTCTATTTTCTGAGTTTGTATTCCCTTCTGTTCCTGAACCCTCCCCTTTACCTCCTTAAAGGTTGAGGGGATTTGCTGACATTTTGCTTATGGATGCACCAGCTGCTCACCGGGAATTGCTTTTAGTCTAAATTCAAGGACTTTTCCAGACTTAATATTGCAACGGGCAGCACGATTACTGCAGATCTTTGCTGGTTCAGGAGGAGGACTTCAGGTCTACTTAGAGTCACATGACAGCCCCATACAATTTCAGGGTCCTTTTCTAGGCTTTTTTGTTGTTTTCATCTTATGAGATTTGGTATTTGAGCAGTTCTCCTGGTCGACTGCAATACATGCTTGGAATGGAATCCATCCTTCAATCACACTTTTGCTACAGGTGGCAACTGGTTTCCATAAAAAGATGGAAAAGCATATTTAATACATTTACTGTATCAACCCTTTTTAGATTAAATTACCTTGCCGGCTATTTGGTAAAACTGTGGTTTTGAAGAGGAGTGAAAGTCTTTTTGCAGTAAAAGATGCAATAAAAAAACCTAACACGTTTAGGTTAAAAACTAACACATACGCAAAGCTCAAATTTCTTGTCCAGTAGCATGTGCTGTAACTCAAACTGAAGTGCAATCAATGTCAACTAGCTGTGTTGTTAGGTGGTTATTAGCTATGTTTGTGCTCAGCTAGAAAAGTCCTTGGAGATAAGAGATTAAGAGAAATAGAGATTATAACATGGTAAGAATATACAATCCTCTCTTAAAACAAGGGCGCTCTGGTGGCCTAGTGATAAGAAGCTGCAAGGCAATTCCAAAGGCACACGGTTCAAATCCACTGGCTGCTCCATGGGAGAAGGATGGACATTCTCCTCCTGTGCAATTAACTGCCTCCGAAAACTCGCTGGAGAGTCAGCTATGGGTCGATTCTGACTCAATGGTAACTCAGAACCACAACAAAACAAGTAAACTTTGCCCTCTTATTATGAACACAAAGCAGCCGTGTTTAAGTGCTTAACTGCAAAGGAGGTTTTAAACTAGGCGTTTCCCAAGGAGAAGCTATCTGGTTATCTGATGCTCCCTAAAAGATTACAGCTTCAGAAGCCCCCCAGGAGAGTTCGGCCTCACCCTATGAATCAGAAAGGACTCAACAGCACTCAACAAGGATATAAATACATAGTTTTCTAGTTGATTTATAATGTGGTTAATGAATGAGACATTTCATTCCCAAGTTGGAGATCAGCACCTCCAGAAGGTATGAAAAATCTAACGATTCAACGAGAGAGAGCTGCCACAAAGGTGACGTATCACCGCATTCATTACATCTCGATTATAAAGCACAAACTCCATATAATCATGGCGTTCAATTGACTTTAGAGGAATCAATAAAGTAAAATAACATTTACAAGTCCACTATTTGTCTACCAATCAGATGCCATAGATCTCTCAGACAGCTTTTAACTACAGGTGAAATTAATATCTGGAAACATGGAAGAATATTTATATATCTATTAGTTGAAGTTATTGGGAAATAAACCATAAAGAACATTCATTTGTCAGCTACTCTCAGACTTCATTCTCCAATTTTGAAACCATTAGGGAGTCCAGTACTATACTAGAAAGTGAAATTTCATTCCTGTAACTCAATAATAATCTACCTTAACTCAAATACAGTATTAGAGCTCTGGTGCCTAGTGGGTAAAGAGTTGAACTGTTGGCCCAAAGGCAAGCTGTTCAAATCTACCAGCCGCTCCATGAGAGAAAGATGGACAATCTCTTGACATGCAACTTATAGCTTCTCAACAACCCCTGGAGGGTCAGCTAAGAGTTGGTTTCTACTTGATGGCAATGTTTTCTGAGTGAGAACCAATGACTTACACCAACTGTTCCTACGTGGATGTTGTTGGTGTGTGCCACAACTGACTCATAATTGACCCTCCAGTGGGTTTCCGGAGCAGAAACTCACACGGAGGACACTGCCCATCATTCTCTCACAGAGCAGCTCGTGAGTTTGAACTGTGTTCCTTTGGATTGCAGCACAGCTTCTTACCACTAGGCCACCAGAGCTCCCTCTCTATGGGAATAGGCATTTGTGTTACTTAACTGGACAGATAGATACAATGCTTTTAAAACTACACAGGAAAAAAAAAGAAAGAAAAGGAAGAAAACGAAATTGCAGTTATGAGTGTAGTGTGAGTGTGATTGTGAGGATGGTAGAAGAATGGGTAAAGGTCAGATCTGTTGTTGACAGGATCTTTATGAGTCATGGTCAACTCAATGTCACCAAACAGCAACAATCTTTATAGAAGCAGATAGTGAGGCCTGGAGCTACCAGGCAGGTTAGAGTCACGACCTTTGTGTTAGCATCTGGTCACACATAAGTACCACACAGGTAGGTAGGTAGATAGAGAGACAGGCAGACAGACACATAGTAGATAGATAGACAGACAGATAGATAGCTAGATACATAGATATAGGAGAGAGAGAGATATTAGACAGACAGATATTGAACTAACAGACATCAAGGAATACACAGGCTACCAGAATCTTGGAGAACTAGAAAAGGATTTCCTTAGAGACTTTGGAGAAAGCACATGCCCTGTGGGAACCCTGAATTTAGACTTGTAGCTTTGACATCTGTAAGATACTAACTGCAACTGCAAGCGATTATTTTTGTCTTTTGTGTAAGGTAACGACATTCCTTTGATTTGCCACCGTATTTTGAAGGAACATTCTATCAACAGAGAAGTTTGCAACAAAAACTTCAATCCCTTGTACCAAATTTTAAATAAAATGATACTAAATGATAATATTGTCAGGTACATACAAAGTATCCCATCCAAGTCGGCTGTTACTCCAGCAGCTTGGCTCTGCTGGTGCGAGCTGTCACACCCCAAGAAGCAACAAAGAGATAACGTGTTCTCTTCTGGTGCCGATTTTATTCCTTGTTGCCTATGACTTAGCAACTTTCATACTTTGGCACAAATATTCATACTTTCATACAAATATTTAAGTAACCTTTCTTCAAGGAGGAGAGGAGGGGGTCAGGGGTAGGAACGTGGTCTACTTCATAAAGAATCTCTGTTCGCTCAGTGCACTGATGGCCCCTTCCCATTGATGCGCTGACTTTCTGATGCCAAAGAGCTTCATCTGCTTTGACTTCTTGCTCTGTTTACAAGACTGGCCTCGTGAGCGTTTGACGCCTTACACAGCACTTGAATGTGCTTGGCAAATGGCTGAGGGCTGGAGGCGTCATCCTGAATGCATGCTACTGAGCTCGCACGCTGTATCAGCCCCAACTCCAGTTTCCGCCTGTAAAAAGATTTAATTGATTCCCACTTCCTGTAGGGCACCCCATTAATCCATTTGGAACCAACGAGAACTAAGACTGCCTTTCAGTCCAGGAGCTGGTAATGAATTCACACAAAGCAAGGATGTTCAGTTCAGCACGTTTCAGCAGAGCCATTCACATTCTCTGACAGATGAGAACAACTCCTTGGCCTTAATTAAACTCTAAGTTCTCTGTTGCACTCTCGAGTGAACAAATTGATTGTCTTGGGTTAGTTTGCATAAATTAGGGGGAGAAATAAGCACCCAGTACTGTAACCTACCCAGGATGCACTGCTAGCCCCAAATCTCACCGGTAAAAAACGAGGGTGTATGTTGGGAAACTCTGTACAAGAATTCTAGCACGTAAGTAATTCTAACTGGTTTTCAATGGCACAGAAGACGATACTGCAAAGCCCTCCATTCTTATTTTAATATCATGTTGAAATCATTTTATTATTATTTTATTAATCCTTTCATTCTCTATCCAGTGACTCAATGAACTAACCACTAGTATTAAGCATACTTGCAGCATCTCCAAAGCAATACAGAGAAGGTAAACGTGGTCATCTGGTATCTCTCCTTTTTCAAGGATCCTAATCCAAACATAAGGCACTCTGGAGGCAGGGAGAGTTCAACGTTCCGCTGCTCACTGTGTCTCTGTGGAGATAGGCATTATCCCCCTACAGAGATTCCCAGCCTTGGAAAGCTGATAGGGAGCTTGGAGCTGACTACAGAGCAGTGGGTCTAGCGAACACAAGACGGTCAAATGGTCTCTTAAACAACAGACAACTTAACGCCTTAAAGTTCACAGAATATGTAGCTGAATGTTCATGGCTGCCCTGTTCATAACTAATCCAAAGAGGGGAACCACCTAGCTGGCGAAGAGACAAGGAAAATCTAACATGTCCATACAATGGAACAGAATTCCACAGCAAGAGGAACAAATGACTGACACGCGATACAACCTGGAGGAAGCCAGCATGCACCAACACAGCCTGCAACGCACACTGTGTCAAAGAAGCCAAGTAGGAAAGATCCCAAAGCGTAGAGGAAGAAGTAAACTACCTAGGCCAGGGAGCTGGGCCAGAGCAACCGCCACAAAAGGACACGGAGTGTCTTTCCGAAACGACAGGCATGTTCTAATACTCAATTACACTGATGAGTGCACAGCACTCTAAATTACTTAAAAATGCATTAGTTGCACACTCCACACAAGTGAATTCTATTATACACAAGTGATGGCTTGCGACCGGGACTACAGCAACGGGTTGAGTGTGACGGAAACTGCGGCAATGGCACAGGATAGGGTCACTAGGGATTGTAGTCCACTCAGAGGCATTTAACAACCACACCTACAAAAAAGCCAGCTCCTTTTCTAAGAAAATCCGAGACAAGAAACAGCATAGGCTGAGTGAGATTCGAAATGCTGAGTGGAGAAGCCTCGTCCGTGCATGGACTAGTGAACAGGGTTTAACAATGAAAGTAGATTTCTATCACCATTTCAACGCTCCCGATGGTTGTGATCACGTAGACAAGAGCTTCTGTACCCGTTAGGCTCATCTACTCAGATCTGCAGGGCGTGGCTTTCTCAGGAACAGGCAGAAACTTCGGTGGTGCAAACAGCTCGTGCATATGCTAACTTTCAGACATTTGAGTCAATCTAGAGGCAGTTCTGAGCAAAGACCTGACCTACTTCAGAAAAATGGGGGAAAAAAATCCATGAGTACAGTTCTAGCCTGACAGAGATGGGGGCACTAGTAGACTCGCTCAGATGTCAAATGGTTTATATCTTAATTACTGAAAAAGTGGCTGGTACAACACAGGGAGCTTAGTATAGATTTGTACGTTTTGAACTGAACAAAGTCCTGTTATATGTCAAGAGATCTATTTATTTAATGAGTTTAATGTATGGAAAGAATATACTGTTTCTAATCTTGTTTTTCTAGAAAAGTCAACTGTAATATCACTGAAAGACAAAAATTCCATATTTTCCATAAGAAATACAAGTTTGTAAGGAACAATAATAGGGTATTTTCAGTTACTGTACCCATGTAAAAATAAAAGGAAAATCTAAACCCCTAAAGGTGAATGTAATGAAAATGTGAAGAAATGAACAATCTAGATTCTAAAGCTCTAATCACCAAGTTTCCACATGATGAAGAAAGATCAATTTTCCACAGCTAGGGACATTTTTAATAGCCCCTGATATTTTACATCTCTATGATCTTTTTCAATATAGAGATCATTTCAGAAGCTGTTAGATGATGAACAATTTCAGAAGAGAGGGGAAAATGATGGCTAAGAAGTCTAATTTATTTTGCCTTTTTTCTACCGCAGCAGAAAAAAAAATAGAGTAATTACTTACTACAAAGCTCAGACTCATCCCCATCTCTTAATTATAATACGAGCAGATCTTGGCCAGAATTATCCTGCTTTTGTTCAGATCTTCAACTTGGTTGGCTCAGATAAGGGGGGAAAATATGTTTTAAAAAATCCTTTAATTGCAGTTTCTAATACTGAATTATGTCATTTCTGTTTCTGCAATATGCCGAGCTCTTATCCTTTCCTTGTGTATCCATGGCAACCATGAGACTTCACCCCAATGCAGTGTCTCTACAGCAGACTTCTAATATCTGTCTTTCCATTTGATTCTGTATTTCGAGTCTTAACTCATTGCAGTTGAGAATATGTACAGTTTTCTGACCTTCTGCCATAATTTTCACAGTAGTGGGTTTTTACTCAAAAATCATGGACATTCCTTATTGAATATTATTTCAAATCCAAATTCCTGATCCTGAGTTCAAAGTTGCTTTTAATTGCTCTTTTCATTTCAATGTTATAATTTCTCACAGATAGTTTAGACAAACCATTATGCAATGTTCATACTGAATATATATATAAAATAAATACTGAATATATATATATATATATAATGTCTACAAACAAATTTCCATTACAATACTTACTGGGAACTATAAATTCTATTTCTTCCGACATAGCAATTCCAAGTTTATTTTCAGCAAAGCAACGGTATTTTCCTTGAAAGTGAGATATGTGCCCTTCATTTGGGATTCTGAATGTTCCTGAATTATTGGAAACAATGATCCGAGGGTCAGAGAGATCAAAAGTTTTGTCATCCTTAGTCCACATAAATCTGTAAAATAAAAGAAAACTTAATAATTAGGAAAACCTTAATCTGCTTCTCAATGTAGCAGAATAAACACATACATGCAAATAGAACACCAAGTTGACAGGATATACTAGAAGACAAGGAAATATTGCAGAACATAAACAAGACTCTTCAGAATCTAAAAATAAGTCATAAAACTGGTCTGACAACACGGACTGAAAATGAAGACTTTGTTCGGGTTCTCTTTTTGTTTATCTATTAAGTTTTACATCTTCAGTTGGAAAGGTGGTGCTGTGTACTGTCAGGTCAGAACCTCATAGCCGACCCTCTAGTGAGTTTTCAGAGGCTGTAAACAGCCCTGGAGGAGGGTGCTCATCTTTCTCTTATGAAGCCACTGATGGATTTGAACCAATCACTTTTGGATACGCAGAGCAACTCCTTACCACTGTGCAACCAGAGCTCCTTAGCATATAATGTAACTGTGTACCGCTGAGGCAAAATCCACCCACAGCTGACCCTCCGGCAGATTTTCAGAAGCACATTTTAGGAGAAGGAAAAACTCATATGAAGTACAACAGAGACTTACAGAATGACCTGATTTGAAAGAATACTCACGTTGGTTCTGGATTGCCTTTAGCTTCACATTCTATTTGGAAATACTCATCAAACGGAAAAGCAACTTGCACTTTTGACTGTTTGGTAATTGTCGGAACCTGTTGAACTAAAAAGAAAAAGTATACATTTAAAGAACATGTTTATAAGAGACTGGGCAAAGTTAATTTTAGTGTAGCAAAGTCTTTCAAAGCAACTTATATAATTACAAGTTAAAAAGACCACAAGAATAGAAATCATAAAACAAAGCCAACCTTCTCTTTGTACTATGTTATTTAAATCTAAGAACGCACCTCACTGCACCATTTCAAGCATCCATATATGCTAATTTTATTTAAACACAAAATGATGGAATAATTTTAAAGCAGTAGGAAAATCACTCATGGCATCATAACTTACAAATATGTCTCTTCTGGAAAGCTTTAGGCCAAGTGAACTAACTCAGTCTCATAAGGACAAATACTACATAAGACTATTATTTTTTAGAAAAATAAAAAGATAATAAGTAAAACATGTGTAGGGGTCCAAGGGGGAAAAGGGTGAGAGCAAGGGGGTGAGGATGGGTGGGTGTAAAATGACAGGGTCACACAATTTGGTGGGTGGGGGAAGGGGTAAAGAAAACGGGAAATATTCAGCTGGGACCTCAAAAGGGATATTCTTCCACTTTTCAAGATCTCTTTTTGTTTCTTGTAGTAATGTTTTGTAATTTTCTTGGAAAAGGTCCTTTGTACTTCTGGTTAA